ACAGAGAATAATAAAGACTAGACCAAAGATTGAAAAAAACAATTCTAAAGAAAACCTTACCCCATTTTAATCCGATTGCGTCACTAATCCTGCACTTCTTTGCACACCCCCCAGCACTCCTGCACTTACACCTACCGGTCCCTCCTCCCACCGTTCGCTCTCACTCTCTGCCAAGCTCTCCTTCTCTCGTCCTCTTAACCCCCTCCTCTCTTGCCTCGTTTTCAAATCCGTTTATGCTGGCCTCTCTGCCAAGCACAAAGATATCTCACCTCACCCGGCATTCACTTGTCGCTTGAGTCTACACACTCACTGCCAACCACCTGCCGGGCGTACAGCAAGCCTCGAGCCTAAAGTCTCAGATCTCAAGTGTCAAGTCGCCAATTTCAAGACTACATCATCCTCTGGCCCATTAACATGCCTGTTGGTGTTCAGTCTGTTTATTCTACGGAGGGAGAGCAGAATGGATGTGAATTGGACGAGTTGGTGTGGTTGTTAGGGCGTTGTGAGGGAAACATGGTCTCGCTTACTCCTTCCCTCCATGCATGTGCGCACACACACATTGAATGCATGCGACCACTATAAAAAAAGCACACACTCACACCCTCTTTCTTGCTGGTGTTGCTGTTCTGGCTCTTTTATTACTGGGCCAATCTTCGCGGCCGACCAGTGGACGGGGTTGCCGATACGCATAGGTGCGCAAAGTTAACGACTGTCGTTTCATGCAGAAAAGGTGCCATATCAGTTTGACACTATCAGTCACTATCACTATTTAACGTCCATACACTTGAACTTGTCCCAGTAGGTTCTGCAAGCGCCGGTTGCACGAGATCGTTTCGTCCATGTTTTGACGCCGCTTTTTATTCTACGTAGTGTCATCAGCTGCAAAACTTGAGGTTTTAACTTCAGACCTGGAACACAAATAACAGGAAATATATGCACCTAATTCAAAAAGCGATTATTACATCGCATTTGGCACAAATAACTAAGACTTTTTGAATGCCTTACCCTTAAATCCAAGTAAAATATACTTTAGCAACGGGATGGGTATCAGAAATAAAACTTGATTGTTTGGAGTTGGTAGCATACGACGCTAAAAAAACGGTAGGGTGACTGCCTTCCAGCACCTGTGGCAACTCTATCCTGAAGGCGAATAATGTAGAGGATGACCTAAGACTCTTAATTCCATTATTGTTTTGCTAGAAGGAGTTAATGTAAAAGCTTTTCAGAGTCCCATATCCTACCGTTTCGTCGGAAGCCAATTAGATTAAGGCAGATCCAGAAAGCTTTCATGGAGGCAGCGAAGGAGGCCAGAACTTGATGTTACAAGATAGGTTCCCTAGTTAGATTCATGCAATTTGTCGTGAAAATCGCCTCAAAAAGGCATTCAGTCATATACATTAAGTTTAACAACTAGATACATTTCATATATTGCGACTGGACTCGTTGAGCTACTGACTGAAGGCTTGAAGTTGGTTTCCAACTGGCACGTCTAGTTGACAGCGTGAAATTGTAGGATGGATTTGGGGGCCGTGAAGGTGTTTGAGGACAAGGGCCTCCACTTCAAATTCCACCAACTTAACATCACAGATGTTGATAGTCGCCACAAACTGGCCGAATTCATTAGGGCCAACTATCCGAATGGAATAGACATTATGGTGAGCAATGCCGGAATCGCATGCGTGGATGCTCACACGAGTTCTCGTATTGGTACTTTCGTTGACTTGTACTGGGTCGTGGCCTTGAAGTGGTGATGGTAAAAGCAGTCGGCGTTTGTTTATTGTTGGCTCATTACTGCGGATGACGCGGAAAGCCTAGCTGTGTGGTTACCACATCTGCGGCCTACTCATGTTAGCCCATAGGCAGGAAAAGCTAGATCACCACGATACGTTGGTAAATTTGTGGGGTAGGCCTCCCTCCGTTAAGTATAGCCAACTGGCCATCATAGTCGTACCTAGCTAATCTACTTGATCAAGGATAATCAACAGGGTGAAATGAAAGTTTTGATGATGCCGCTGGCTTAAACTCTCTTTTAGGTTGACTTCAAGGCCTCTCGCATTGGGACATCTAATCTCACCTTCGTCACTCGCAATTGGCTCAGTGTACGTCACTAGAAAGTATTCCTAATTCCTTTGCTTTCTATTGAGTCCAAGGGGTGATGCGGTAACTAATCTGGCTAATCTAAGCATATGACGCAAAGGGGTCACAAAATTAGGCAAAAAACAGTTTTTTTGTGGTAATTTCTCGGCAATACAGTAATTGCATTTCCCAATCTCATACACAGCAGTAGTAGTGCCAATGGCGGCGAAGCTGCCAGCCTGAAGTAGTTGACTCAATTGAGCTCCAAACACGAATGAAGGGAAGAGTATGTACATGGCACAAGGCTTAGTAACCTACCAAAAGAAAGTGCTACGAGCCGTCAATCGCACAGTAGTAATAATATTATCCAAAGCGTCTTTCTGCAGACTACAGGACATTGGAACTCGTCTTAAGTATGGTTGTAGCATTTGCACTCAACTCGAAATGTAAGGAAATGGTAGCTGAGTGTGAGAATGGCCTAACTCTGTAACAACTAGACGATCTCATGTCATCCTTCCTATTCTCTTCTTTGCCTCTCCGTTCCCTTCAGCACCTTTGCTCATTAAAATCTGAGGGAATCCTCTTTCCTTCTCAACAATTGCTATTTTAACTGATGATCACTACAACAAAATTCACCAGTCCCAGAGAAATAAGCACTTCCATCATTATAGACAGGTGAAATCTGGATCTGGCCCCAAGATCATGCTACCATCAATTCGTATTATTAGAAGTAATAATAAATGCTTGAAGCTACGTGCAATGGCAGTAGACCGATCACAATGATAGATGGCTTCACCTTTTATGTCACTACCAGCCATCAGCATCCTCCGACCTCAACGCTCCATTTTTCCTAACGGTTTTTATCAACTTATAGATGATAGGCCTTGACTAACTATCAAATACAGCCTCATATCGCACTTCCGCACTGATGTGGACGTAAATCACCGCAACTGGTATTTACGACTTGTTTCAGGCGGTATTTAGTAGACACTCCCTTCTTCACTCGAATTCGTGTTGCAACACACCCTACCGCATACCAGTGTGACTAATTAAGGAGGACGGCACTCTGCTACACCAAAGTGGATGCAAGAAGGCTAAATGAAAGCTGATAATTTGAAATAAAGTCGTATTTAACAGCACCAAGAATAATCAGCACTATTACTATCGGCACAAGGAGTCGGAAGTCTAAATACTTCGTTGTTTCAGTCCGCCCACTAGTATGCGGCGGATGGCGCTCACTCATCAGCTCACCATTCACTGATCATTCCAGGTGAATGGATGCACAAAAGTGAGTTATTTCCATTCCCTCACCAGGGTAAAGCAGCACCAAGGTAGGAAAATATTACCACAAAAAGAAGAAAACGAAACAAGTATGGCAGCATTTAAATTATAGGAGGTTTTATCAGCGCTTCCCCATAACTGAGGCATAGTTGTAGCGTCTATGATATGTACCTTGGACATAATGGCTCAGCATGCCAGGGTGAACAAATGGGAAACAATGTCAGATGCTGCGAAAAGCCGGTTTTAGAGTGAGTTGATAAGGTCGCAGTGAGGACGCAATTTGAGCAGCTCCACTTAAATGGCTGTCCATCCCCACAGGTCAATCTCAACCATCGCCTTGTCATTGCACTAGAAGCCAAACTTGGGCTGAATTCTGTCTGCCTCCACTCGTCTGAAGTGATGCAAGTAAATAAACGCTCAGTGTTTTGATAACGGACTCCGATGATCATAACCTAAGATGGCAATTATTGCGCATGGAACTGTCCACTGTCAGAAATTCTTGAGTATACGAACCGAGATAAATTGCGAGATAAAGACGAGAGAGGGTAGGATAGACCATATGAGGTGGCTCAGCCGCAGTTACCATTTCCTTGGATTTCGAGACGAGTGAATAGGCTGCAAACATGCCTGAGACAATTTCCGTTGTTTACTACTCTGCAGAAAGAGGCATTGGCTACTATTAATTGTGTGGATCACTACGAGCCGATAACACTTACTTTTTGGCAGTTACTTCGCCCTATGCCCCCTGCTACCGTATCCAAAATTAATTATTGCAGCCAAATTAGAACTACTACCTAAAGTGGACTGCTCTGTTACCATTCGAGTAACTGACACTGCGTTTGAGATTGAGTTATGCAACTACTTTATATTTCAAGAGCCACGACAAATGTGATAGGCACGGTCTCACTTGTGGACCATTTTATTGTCCGATTTCATAGTCTGTCCGCGTCATGCATTTAGACTGACTACACTAAGTTACCACCTTAATCGTAGGACCCCATAAATAACAAGCGAATCAGGATGACACTTGTCATTACTTCCTGATCTCTTGGCAACCAACGGTCAGAACCCTGTACTCCAACCCAGCAAATCTTGTCAAAAGCGATCGACCTTGGGTACCCTGCCGGAGGCAGCCTCAAAATCAGCCTAGAAGTGATTTTGTGATTCCATCATTGTCAAAACATTCATTCCACCTTAATGGGTACCTTTGATTACGAATTGCAGCTCGTGTCATGCACTTGCGGCTGCGATTGTGGGGGTATTGGCAAGAAGCCTGATGCCGGTAGAAAAGAGACACGATGTTGCACTAGTGTTGATTCCGCATGTGCATTTAGACCCCAGCAGCCAAGTCAGTTATGCACTTCTGTCATCCTTTCCACCACCCCTCTTCCCCTTGTTCATTCCCTTGCTCTTTTCTTGACTTCATCCCCCTCGATACTCCTAACAGACTCGCCTGTTCTGTGTTGTTCTGGACTGTGAGGGGAGGCGATGTGGTTCTGTTAGTCTCTAGCCGGTGTCATCTCCTCCCCCCTCTTGTGTTTATCACCATTTGCACAGATCTCTCGGGCAATTACAACAACGTTGCGCATCACCTCACCGTTCATCCATTTGCCTATTGCAATCCCTCTTGATCACTGCCAACCCAGTGCCCGCGCTACAGCAGGTCCCAAGCCCAAAGACTCAGACAGCACTCTTGACCGCTGCACCTCCTGCTGCCCTCTCAAGTTGGCTCTGTTCAATCTATTTAGTTCTTTTTATCACTTTTCAGTGCTCCTTTTATCTTTGAATTACTTTATTTTCCCAAAGTAAATACTTACTTTTGGGATTATAGTAATTTGGCTGTCTCTTGCCACCCATCACGCAATATGGTGGAGAATGCCAAACAGAGAGGTGTATTTTATATATATATATATATATATATATATATATATATATATT